TTACCCGCGGGTAAGGGAAGGCTGAATTTGAATGGGCAAGGTTGAGGGTGGGCAGGAGGTCATTGCTGTAAAACTTCAGCCTCCTAGACCCCGAGGTTCCCGAGATGTTAAATTACTCGTGACTTACCCGTGAAAAACTTTCACGGGGCCGTACGTATTACCCGCGGGTAAGGGAAGGCTGAATCCGAATGTGCAAGGTTGAGGGTGGGTAGGGGGTCATTATCCTAAAACTTCAGCCTCCTCCACTCCGTGGTTCCCGAGATATTAACTTACCCGTGAATAAATTTCACAGGGCCGTATGCGTTACCCGCGGGTACGGGGAAGCTGAATTTAAATTTGCAGGGTCACACGTGGGTGAGGGACGTTACCCTAAATTTTCAGCTTCCTGGCTTTTGTAGTTCCCGAGTTGAAAGTTGCGGACAAGTTGCTGCGGACACACACACAGACAACCCCGTAACAATATGCGTTCTGTACTGCTGTTACACAGCACAAAACGCATAAAAAGTAGGGAATTGTGACGAATTCGGACAGGAAACTTCCAAAGTTCAAAAAAAAACCTGAAAATTAGCATACTGCAAATCAAGACTCCCGTTAGTGATGCACTGAGGTGAAAATTACCACTCAAATAGCCACTAGACAATCACAAATTATGCGCATGTATTACATCCATAAGTCACCTCGGCAAAATTCGCCGGATGCGTCATCGTAACCAAAAGCTCGCACTCTGATGACTACTCGACTTATCCGACGCATGGGAATTGCCGGAGTCTAGGTTCATTACTTGCTTTGTTCCGGAAGTAAAGACGCATTAAAATTATGAGGCTCAATTCCAAGTTATTTGCTTCGCATCATTTGGAGATTCCAACGAACTGGCCATTCATTCCCACCCAAATCGCAGAATAACCTCAAATTTAAAACTGCTCTCTCAGATCAGGTCAAACAAAAGTATGAAGATTGATTTGCTCTCTCAGATCAGGTCAAACAAAAGTATGAAGACTGATTTCAAACTGTTTATCCGGGATTCCCAGTGAATTAAAATAGTAACACCTTGAGTCACAACACTGGCTTAAAGTTGGAATTGAAAGAATGGATTAGGAAAAAGAGAACTAAAAAATTGGCTTTAATATAGCAGCTTCATATAAAATAGCGCGTCACAACTTCAAGACCTCAGTTCCCCAATTTCGGAGTAGTGGAAAACAGACGTCAATGTAAAAAAAAAAAAAAGCGCACTAAATATATACACACAGATGCATGCCACCACCACAACATAATGCGCTACTTATGAAATAATATAAAAACAGTCGAAAATTACAATTCCTGATGCTACAAAAGAAACAGCAGGAGTGTACGCTAAAAATTACAATTCCAGCGTAGAAGACTGAGACAATAGCACAAATTATGGACAAATTATGGCCAAAAAATTCCATCACAGCCACTTCAGCAAGTAGCTAAAAAACGGAAAGGGATAAAAAAACTAAGACTTTGTCGGTCTTCTGACAATCTTTTTAAGATCTTACGATGAAAATCCCGCGCAATTCTTACAAAAAAAAGCAAACTTGTTAAAATTCTACGACAGCGATGAACAGCACGTCTTAAAAATGAGGGCACATTGATGCGCCTCGTAAGAAAACAATATAAAAAAATTCAGCAAACTGAGATAGCGAAATTCATACCAGTTAAAGCAACAAAAGGCATTTCAAGTAAATGAAATCGCTGAAAACAGCATTCAACCTTCCCATTCTTTATGGACCGTCAGCGATGAAACACATGAGAACAAATTTCCAAGCGAACCCTTTTCATTTTCTAAATGCTCACAAGCTTTTCGTGCCTCCGATAAGCTTTTTCGAATTTTCGGGCAAATTAAGACCTGCAAACTTTGTTTTTACAACAAAAAAATTACAAAAGTAAAATTTAACAGACCCAATTGAAATAAAAACTTGCATGTGTGGTACAAAAATTAACTTTCTACATAAATACAGACCTCATTAAGGTCTTCCTCAGAGCAATGAACAAAATAGTGCTGGAAAAAGGTCGAGATTCGCGTCCTGATTTGTTCAGCAAGTTCCTCGTTTCGGGATACCAAATTTAAAACAAGAACACCTAAAAATATCAGAAAAAACGAAGCAATCAATTTGCTTGAGAGCGACGCGGAGGGATGCAATCACTTTCGTTAATTCACTTTTGTTAAAAATGTACGTACACTACTGCCTGCAATAGGGGGTGCCTACTTTAACATTAGAGAACTGCCACAGCATTTACAATGGGATGGAAGAGATATTTTGATGAAAGGCATCACACTCATCAACGCGCTTTCGGTCTCACGTACACAGCAGCCGAGACCTAGTGTGGATCGCCCTTGAACGAAAACCAAAACATCTTTAAAAAAAAATCACTGGAGGCGAGGAATCAATCGAAAGTGGAGCTTACCTCGCTCACGAAGTGCGCTGCGCATTGCCACCAGTGTATCGTCGGTAACAAACGAAGGCAGCGGACAACTCAAACCGTCATGCTCACTGCTCCCTGCTACATCACAGAATATAACGTCAAATAATAGCAGATCATCTGAAATCTGAACGAAGAAATGCAAACAAAACATGCAAAAATGTAGGAGGATGAAGCATGAGGCAAATGCTTTTGCAATAAAGATCAACAAATAATGTGAAATAGCTCCTACAAAAAAA